AAAATAGACTCATACGATCATCATGAAATTTTAACCTCGTTCGCCAGTCCAGTGAAATATCGGATGAAAAAGCGAGTTCCACTGAAAAATCGAGCTATTTTTTGATTTAAAATTTTGCGTTGGGTGAAGACCTGACCATCATCCGAATTCCTCTCTGTTAAAGCCGAGTACAGATCCTTATCCATTAAAATTTCAGCCATTGCTTCTCGCATGGGGCCGCCATAGTTAACACATTCCTTGAAATAATCAATTAAACCTTGACTAAACACATCACGAGTCTAGAAAAAGGACCTGTAAGAAATTGATCAGTGGAGTGACAGGTGAGACGAGGGTATCACAAAAGCTAGCCACATTATACGGTTCTTCCCAACCCTGTGATTCCTGCTCTTGTGAGTATCGATCGATCTGAAAAGAACAGTCAACTATGGGGCAACGAGCGACAATGTGGGTTCTGCTGACTGTGAGCCGTGTGTGATAAAGATATGCCAATATTTAAAATTTGATTCTGCCCAATAGAGCGTTTTACACTCTTCTTAAGATGTTTTTCTAATCGAAAGTTAACCACAGTCTTCTTTGAATACATGGATTTAAAAGAAAGTAGTGAGAAGATCCCTGTTTTCTCCCTTGACTTCACACAATATGGATTGAGATGAGGGGTAATTTGAAAGGTTTTTAGACCAGTTGCTCTGCACCATTCTTCCATTGTAGTACATGATTTGAACTGACTTGGTAAACCGATCGTAAACCTCACAAAATCCTCAATCCGCAATCGCGGCGCAAGATGAGACAAGCGAGATGATTACGACAGATCATATTCAAGTTTATATCTAACGAGTCTAACTAAAGAGCAGACTTCTTTGCACACACTAACCCATTTTCAACGTAATGATAATGCGACCCGCTTTATATCAAAAATGTGTACAGAATACAGAATACCGTCTGCAGTAAAGAAAGATATTGGAAGGACTTACAAATCCTCTCCATTCCAAGAAAAGGCATACGACTAGTTTCACGAAAATATGACGAGGAAGAGAAACAATAAGTGGAGACGGCGAAGGCGGCCGAACAGCATTCTCACCATGACGAGGGCAGAACCTGAATGAATGAGGATTTTCTACTTGGGAAAGACCCTATGAATCGCCAAGGCTGAATAATTCGCCGTTAGTTTTTATTGGAAAAACCGACGAAATGAAGCAACTGAGGTCTACTTGATGATATACGAGGAATCGATAATCATAGTATAAGTGCGCGAAGAGCTGCGCATACAGTCTTTGAAAGAAAGCTGATGTAACTCACACACCCCATGGGTCTGATCACATCGGAGTTGCCACAATCACAAGCTCCTCCTTCTCGCGAGAAAAACCTAGTGAAATCGTGACCCTCGTGATTTGCAGCTTGGAAACATGATGCACACAAAGACATACCTGAAAAGTGCAAACTCAGTGGACCAAATGCCGTATGGTTAAACTTCACAAAGACGAAAAGTCAATTAACTTACAAGGAGTTAGGGCGCAGGTATTACATCTATAAGCGACAGAGTCGTTTTCCCATATTGTGTTGCACTTCAAGGAAACGTCCAACTCATTCACTTAAAAGGATGCGAATCGATCACAATCAACATTTGAATAGATTGAAAAAGTTTCAATAAGTACTTGCTGTCTTGAAAGTCTCGTAGCTTTCTCCCTGAGCTAGTAGAATACGCAGTTTTGAATACAGAGCTTCCGAACGTATTGAGGACAAAGTGATCAACTTGTCAAGGAACCGATTCAAATGCAATGATACCTTCCTGAAAACTTATTTTGACCATCGTCTTCCTTTCCATGCATGATTACACCAAACTCGGTTGTGAAACAAGCGAGTTAATCTAGAATGAACCTACCAAACTTGCGGATCAATGCCTTTTCCATTTAGCAGAACCGACATATAAGGAAGGGATGACCAGAAGCCTTTAGGAAATCCGCTTGTGATTTGCAATATAGGACTGCATCCTTTACTCGTTTGTCGCCCTAAATGTCGCTCTGTATCTATATCAAAGACCCAACTACTCTAGGAGGAGACCATTTTTCAAGATTCATTCTTCACATATTATGGTCGAGGGCGAGAGTGAAAAACGTACCTCCGTGAATTCATTCATTTGAAGTATCAATGCTAAAGCGCATGTTGTCATCCTCGTCAGGGTCTCGGGTGTCATCACTCCTGAAACTGATTATAAGAGCATGAGTTGGCTCTGGAGTGAAACTTTAGAGAAACTATTTATTAGCTTTATAAAAGCACACAAGCTCAATGGAAATATTATAGCCTTGCAAGTTCAAGGGCGCTCCGTCGGCATCAATATTACCTACCCGATCCCTACCAACGAATTTAATCGTTGTTGCGTTCATTGCTTCAGAAGAAAAACATTGCCAGAACTACTATGTCTTAATCACCAGGAGCACGCTGTCATGTATATACAAAGACAATCAGGGGCAGAACACAACACCTATTCTTGACTCTCGCTCTCTCGCTTTCGCTTAACTGCTGTTTTAACGCCGCAGTTCGCGTTGCGAATGTTTCACAAGAATGCTGGGTTGTGAACAAAACTTTCGCCCCAGGCGGGACTGAACCCGCACCTCTCGCTTTCGGGAGATTTTAAAAGCTGAGTTGGAATGAAATGGTGCCCCGGTAGCGTAACTGGTAGCGCACTTGCCCGGAAAGCGAGAGGTGCGGGTTCTAGTCCCGCCTGGGGCGAAAGTTTTGTTCACAACCCAGCATTCTTGTGAAGCAGCTATATTAACACTTCTCTGGAAGCGGTGCTTAGACAACCGGTGTAGCTCACTGGGACAGAGCGACTTTTCCATTTTGCTCGCGAAACATTTTTCGCTGTGTAAACCTCAGATCCACCGTTGATCATGAGCGGACCTGGAGTTCCTACAGCAAAAATATTTCGCTCTGCGAAAAAATTCGCTTTTTGTCCTAGTGAACCAAACCACACCCAAGCAAACCCACAACCTGAATGGCAAAATAGAGCTTACAACGAGCGCAACACTATATAGAATCGCATCACATTCATATTCCAAAGACAACAAGCGGTTTCACGGTCACCTATCACACCTTTATTTCCTCAGGTGCTAATTCTTTGTTGTCTTTTAGGGTCTAATGAGTGACTTCCCTAGGTAAATTCAAGCTTATAACTTCGATTACTAGGTGCAGCAATAGATTCATCGCCACAGTTTCAGTAAACTCAAGAAGTTAATGACTTCATTGCTTCCAAAGCGTGTTTGATCTGTGAAGACGAAAAGCTTTTTTCTACGAGATTCCATTAATAACGTTTGAAGCATTAACAATGACACCGTTCCCATTACTTTTTTCGCTTACGTTTCGATTTCTATGATTTTGACTCAATTTTTCAACTTGACAAAAAAATTACAAACAATGAATCATATGTTGTGTTTTGCGGAAGTTTTAAGTTGGTCGGGGAGAGGGTTTATGCCCTGGAACGCTGTCACTATTAAACTGGTAGAGAAATCCTTTCGTTTTACAGCTAATTGAGCGCAAAAAATTACCTGAGTGACTCAATCCAATAGCGTCGAAGTCAGACTGACGACTTGGGTGTGGATCTCCCGGCAGAGGAGGCATGACCTCCGCGGTCTTGATACCTGAAACACCTTGTCGTGGAAAAATATGGCAAGTTTACTTAATACTCGGAAAAAGAGGAAAAAATAAACGTTTAGAAGCAATATCGACCATAGAACCTGTGCCATTTTCAGGCTACGAGGGTAAACCAAACTTTGGCTGGCAAAAAAGTAAG